CCGCCCGACCTCGGCGCCCCGGGGCCGGCGTGTCCCCGGACCCCCACTCGCCCCGCGCGGCCCGGCCCCTGCCTGCCCCGGGGCTGCCTGTAGACGGTCGTTAGAGTGGCGCCCACTCCTCGGTGGGCCCTGTGCGTCCCCGGTTCGGTCCCCGCGCTCTCCGCTTGCTTCTCTCCACGCCCAAGTTGGAGCTTGAAGTTGGTGGTTGTCTAGTTGGTGGAAGTCGGCGCAGGTTTCATGGCACCAGCGCCGGTTCTGAAGGTGCCGAGTTGAGGGGGTTGAGGGTTCGAGGCGGGCAAAGCACAGTGGTTAAGTGCTGAGTGAGTTTTGGGGTTCCTTTCAAGCTTCTCCCCCGTTGGGCCAGCCTCTGCGGTGAAGGCCAAGGACGCGCTTTACAAAAAGGCGCCAAGCGAGTGTCTGGGTTTCCCTTTAGTTACACGATGGGTTGCAACTTTCCTAACAAGGTTTGCTATTTTGTTTAAGCAGGTGGTGCTGGGTTGGGGTTTTTTTAATTGCTAATAAGCGCGCAGGTTTTCTGATAGTTGGCAACTTTTCTAACAGGATTTACTGTTTTGTTTATATACAGTCTTTTTAAAAAAATTGCTAACCCTTGGATTTTCTACCTGATAGGTTGCAACTTCTACAGCAGGGTTTACTAGCAGGTTAAATACAGCCTTTTAAAAAAAAATGCTGAACATAAGATTTCCTACTTTAGGTGTTGGTATGCACACAGATCATTTTTTAGTTCAAGGAGTTTTCTTAAAGTTTACAGAGAACCCGGAAAGCTGTTAAGGAGACTTTTAAGATTAGACAGTTGTCATAGCGGTGATTTTAAAAAACAAAAACTTTTTTTTTATCAGTGTTTTGTTATGGGTGAAAAGAAAACCCTTTAAAATACAGAAAGTTTGTGGTTCAAATCCGCCAGACGCTCTGCTGGAGAAGGAGGGGCACTCCTGTACCGGTCAGATCCAATTTGATGGTACACACACACACACACAATAATAGAATTTTTTTTAAATTACAGAAAGTTTTAAAGGATTGTGCAGAGGGCGTGGAGACCTCATCCTCGATCTTTCAGTTAAGGTGTTGCCAGACTGTTGCAGACCGAGGGTCCCAAAGAATAGAATAATTTTATAGTTATTAATAATGAGACAAACAGTCAGGAATGAGATAGAGCAGAGAGCATAAAACAGGGGGTCAGCAGTTCTCGACCGAAGACCCCAAGCCAAGCTTCTCTCTTTATTGAAAATTATCAGTAGGTAAATCACATTTTCTATTGAAAACTTTCTGCTTGACTCAGGAGGGAGGGGTTCACAAATGCAAGAATTTGGTAAACCCTTAAGGATTACCTTAGTGCTTCAGGGTGAACTCTAGCTCAGGAAGTAACACTCCCTCTGTAAGGGGCCTCTTGCTGTCTCCTGTCTTGCAGGGAACAAACTTACCATTTTCTGGGATCTGCCACAAGAGAAATCCTAACTTACAAATCTGTAATTCCTTCAATTCCTGAACAAGGGTTTTCATATAATATTTGGTATAAAGTTTGGCTTCCCATACCAGACTGTCTTCATGTAACTTCACGTAGTAAATAGTTGTGTAATGTTGTGGTGTGTTCTGTTAGTCCCTTTTGAAGCATGTGTCTTAGAATACACACCCACATACATAGACACGCTTAACACACAACCACTTTGCTCCAGCAGCCCTGGAACTGCCACAATAAGGTTTTCAAGATTGTAAAGCTTTCCAGAAGCCATCTATCTGTCAGTTACCTTTTTCTCCCTTTGCTCTTCCTAGCAATCATTAAGACATTTGGTTAGCAGCCAGGTTTCTCAACCACATCACCTGAGGGGTGAACGGTTAACTGTTATATAAACATACCTACTCGAAAACCTGGGGCTCAGTCACTGCGTTCTTCTGAGGAGACTTGTGGGTATTTTAATGTCCACAGTATTCTGACCCTAAATTTGGTGAACTTTAAAATCTTCACGATGCTTGACAATTTGATGGTGGTGTGTATTTCTTAACAAGTAATAACATCAAGAACTTAAAAGAAAGCTGAACATTTTGACTAGACCAAGGTAAGAGACCCTAAATTACGTCTTTATTGTTCCTTATGATCTATCCTATTATTTCTGTTACATCAAGTTCTTAAAATAGTGTGTCTGGGATTTCCTGTCTCTGAAAACCTGCTGAACATGCAACTATGTTACAGCTAGAAAGTTTAATCTGCCTGATATTACACCCTCATTTTTAAGCCAATTTATTGAGTGAAAATAATTGTGAATAGAAAGTTAGAATTGAAGTTAAATTGTTCCTCTTGCTGAGAAATAATTTACACGTTAAAAAGTATGCATGAAGTTGCTTTTAAGTATAACATGTAAATAAGGCTCAGCACTTTAGAAAGAGTAGCAGACTTTGTTGAAGAACAAGGTGGTGGATAGTTAGGAGTCAGTATGGGCTCAAGGTCAGTGAGCGAGTCATAACAGTAAAAGGTACAGATCCATTCCATGGAGCCAGACTTCTGCCTGCAGAGGTGGAGGCTGCTCTGATGTGGTTTCATATGTACATTTTCACCAGCTGGCATGACCAAACTAACTGTTCTAGACTGTTAGAAGTTTAGAAATATTTCTAAATAACCTCCCCGTGCCCCATCCCTCCTACCTTAAAGCACACTTTGTGGCTGTAAGGTTTTGTTGTTGTTGTTTTTTTATTTAGGTATAAAATCTATTAACTAAAGTAAGAATTCCTTGTAACAGGCATAGGGGTGTGTGTGTATGTGTGTGTCTGTGTCTGTGGTGTTTTTTATTTGTTTAGATTTAAAGGTATATCTCTAGGGCGAGCTCTGGTGGGCCCAGTGGCAAGAAGCTGCACTGCAGTCCCAGAAGTGCACAGTTTGAATCCACCAGATGCTCTGCTGGAGAAGGAGGAGCAATCTCCTTCTGTACCAGTCAGATCTGATTTGACGATCACACACACAGAAATAAAGAAAATAAAAGGTGTATCGCTAAGCAAAGATTTTCTAATGGAATTAATGGTTTAAACATGGAAATACATAGAGAAAGGATGTTAATCATCTGAGTTCAGAAGATGATTGGACAGTGTTCTAGAAGAAACTTTTTATCCAAAATTAATACATTCCATTGTATTGAACTGAGAAATAGGATTGTCTGGATACAATTGTATTGAGTCTGCGTGTTCCTGTGTGGTTTGAGAGTGGAGCGCACACGTTGGCTTTCATTCAGAGTTGTGTTTTGTGATGTTGATTATGATCCCCACGTTGTCACAATGTCTCTGATGGGGTGGTGGTGGACCCTCTAGCCAGAACCCCCCAGAATTGCCCAGAGGCAGTTAATGACATGGGAGGAGCTTGCCTGTCCTCCCAGGGTGCAGCTGGTGGGTTTTACCACGTGCCTTCATGTTGGTAGCACACGCTTTTCCACCACACCACCACCTCCCTCTCTCCAAGTATCCGTCCATGTCACTTTCCTAGAGAATTCCTTTCCCTTTTCTCCTGTCCTGTCTCTTGCCTCCTGAGCTTCATGCCTGGTCAGACCCTGCCTATTTTATTCTCATATGGCTGGTTGTTCCAAAGAGTGTTGATGGCCCGAGAGGTCTGTGTTGTTTGGCTTGAGAGCTCTGGTGGCTTGGTGCCAGCCCAGAGGCACATGGTTCAAGTCCCGTGGCTGCTCCGCTTACTGTGCGATGTACAGGCTCTGAAAACCTGCTGGAGGTTCTCACTCGAGCGTAACGACAATAACAACGTTGTGTGGCTGGAAGTTAAGTCACAAGTGATTTCAGGTCAGGTTGAGGGTGACCGGGCTACAGTTTTCTCTGGTGTGGAACACTAGGAGAGAGACCCACGGGGAAGGGTCTGCAGTAAATTCAAACTCGTGCAGTAAAAAACATGTGTTTTTAAAAACTGAAGTCTGTGCACGTTGAAACAAAACTCTGGGCTTCATGTGTAAATATATTACTTTCCTGGATGTGAACAATTCCAAATACAAACTGATGAATTTCAGGGACAGCTCTGCTAATGTACTCTGTAAAATCTCTGACGGTTCAGATCTGTTCTATGAGAGAAAAATGGGCCTTCTCCCATTTCACTTTACAGCCTCAAAACCCAGTAGAGGGTCCCTGTGAGTCAGAACCGCCTTGCCCTCAGTGTGTGAGCCAGGGAGAGCCGTGTGTGGCAGGGACTGGAAGCGGGCTGATCCAAAGTGGCATAATGCAGGTTTCCAGACTATCTTTTTGGCTTCTTGGGGATTTTTTTTGCAGTATTTTAGAAACAGTATTCTGTTTTGCCCTCCAAGAGCCCTTCAAAGTATGTCGTTTTCCTGAAAGTGTCGTCCTTACTGGAAAAGGCACTGAGATTCTTTTAGAAATACCTTCTACTAGTTTTTCTTATCCCCTACTTTATAACAAAATTAGTCTTTAGGTAAAGAAACTTCTTGGTTGGGAACTGAAAGGTTAAATAAGGGGTTTTTTCCCCTTCTGTGACATATTGTAAAAAATATGCTAAGTGATGGCTACAACTGTAGAAAAACCGCGTACAGCAAGTAGAGTTGGTGAAAAATAGTCTTTTCTTGAGAAAACAGGAGTTCTTAATGATGCTTGGTCTTATATAGAAATTTTGTGTTTACTATATAGATGCAAGTTTCACTTTTATATCTTCTAAAAATCTCTTTTTAACTTCTCTTTCAGTGGAATATTGGTGAACAATACTAAGTTAGATGGACCTTTATTGCAAATTCTATTTATGAACAATGTGATTTCAAAGTAAGTAATTTTCTTTTTTAAATGTAGTGAATTAATGTGTTAAGAGTGTGAGGTATCTTGAGAGAACTGTTGTTTCTGTTTCACTTGAATTATCTTTGTTGCTTTTTTACAAGTTCATGGAGTTAAAACTTAACAGGAAAATGATTTTTAAAACAAAGACATTTGCCATCAACATAAATCTGATGTTAGTGTGGACTCTGCTGTGTCTGTCCGTTTCCACATTGGGAACAGGGCATGAGTCTCCGTTAAAAGCCCAGGAGCCGTCCCTGGGTGGTGCAGACGGTTAACTGGGGTTTGGTGCTCAGACATACCACACGTGAGGTTGCCATGAATTGGAGTCTTAATTGTCAAGTAATAACAGCAAACCTAGTAAATGAAAAACCAGACCTGATTTCCTAAAGTCACAGTGACTCATTGTGCCCCAGGGTGTGAGCCAAACTGCCCGGTCCAGCGGGTTTCCAGGCTGGAAGGTTTTTTCCAGTTGTAGTTTGAGTGTAAGAGTCTGCAGCAAATTGGTTTACCATTTGGCCATTCTTACACACTTGGTTTCATAGCATTCGGTTCTGTCTCCCTGTAATTCTCCTCACTTACCCTTCTGGCCTGCCCCTTCTTCCCGCTGGGCTTTATCCTCCTGTCCCTGTGACCGTCTGGGGTTGATTATTGTAAGGAGTGATTGCATCTCTGATCCCACTGATAACCCTATTACTGTTGTTAAGTACCGTCAGGTCAGAGCCAGCCCTGCAGCTAGTTTTCAGGGCCAACAAGTCACATGAGAGGAGATTGCTGTCTCTCCCGTGGAGCAGCTGGTGGATTTGAACCGTGTCCCTTTAGATTGGCAGCACTTGTTTACCCTTGAGCTATCAGAGCTCCCTGATAACCTTGTAGTCCTTTCTTCTGTTTGGTTGAAAGTTGAGCCATAAGGGTAAGTTTGGTCCAAAGTTCAGACGTAATATGGGGCAGTAAGTCTTGGGAATTCCACCAGTCTCTTGGTCCAGGAAATGCAGCCTTTTCTAGTTTGTTCTGTTCCACATTTCCCCCGCTCTGTCCTGGACCTGATTCCACTCTGTTCTCACTCAGGTTGGTCAGCATTGGAAGCGGGGCCCCACCGAGTCCCCCTTGTCTCAGAGTTGTACAAGTTGAGATTCGGGTGGCCCACTAGTCTCTTGGTTTTTCTTCCCTATTTGTTGGGCTCAGAGAAAGAACAATAATTGGACCTGGATGCTGCTAACAAGCTAGTAAGACCTAAAGCAGACGTGTGTAGAACACGTCTTGTGGACGTTACTTTAGGCTGGGATCTTCGTTGAAGCAGGCTGTCTGTTCCGTCTCCAGTGTAGCGAGCACAGCTCTGATGGCCCAGCAGTCAGAGGCTGCCCTGCAGTCCCCAGTGTTGAGCTCTGGTCACCTGGAGGTCAGAGGCTGTGCTGCAGTCCCCACTGAGTTCTTGTGACCCAATAGTCAGAGGCTGCCCTGCAGTCCTCAGTGCAGTGAGCTGAGCTCTGGTCACCTACAGGTCAGAGGCTGCACTGCAGTCCCCACTGACCTCTTGTGACCCAGCAGTCAGAGGCTACACTGCAGTCTCCAGTGCAGAGAGCTGAGCTCTTGTGTCCCGGCGGTCAGAGTCTGGGCTGTAGTCCTCAGTGCAGTGAGCTGAGTTCTGGTCACCTGGAGGTCAGAGGCTGCACTGCTCATGGGTTCCAACCACCAGCTTTGTTTTGGTTGTCAGCTAAATGCTCGGTAAATAAACACTAATAAAAATGCACCACCACCGTAAATTCTCCCCAGCTCAGGTGACTTTTACATCCTGGCTGTCTCTATGACGGAGTAGCTGTTGCTTTGTGCGGTCAAACCTCTGAATCCGAGGGAGCTGTGTGGGTGACAGCACAGCCCTGTGCCGTGCCCACAGCCTCCCCTGTGCCCAGCTCCGTGCCCACAGCCTCCCCTGTGCCCGGCTCTGTGCCCACAGCCTCCCCTGTGCCCGGCTCCGTGCCCACAGCCTCCCCTGTGCCCGGCTCCGTGCCCACAGCCTCCCCTGTGCCCGGCTCCGTGCCCACAGCCTCCCCTGTGCCCGGCGCCGTGCCCACAGCCTCCCCTGTGCCCACCCTGCTCTTAGCGGTCACCGTCCCTCCACTGCGCTGAGGATGTTTTCAGGAAGACCCCAGCGTGCTTGGGCTGGGGGATGCTTTGCGTTCCTGCAGCTCTGGCCACAGTCTGTGAAATGGGTTGAGCCCTTGCTCTGTCCCTTTGTCAGAGGATGGCCATAGACATTTCAGATTATCACTTTCAGGATGATGGTGGTTTGGTACCATCAAGTCGACTGCGACTCAGACTGTCCCTTTGTCAGAGGATGGCCATAGACATTTCAGATTATCACTTTCAGGATGATGGTGGTTTGGTACCATCAAGTCAACTGCGACTCAGAGTGTCCCTTTGTCAGAGGATGGCCATAGACATTTCAGATTATCACTTTCAGGATGATGGTGGTTTGGTACCATCAAGTCGACTGCGACTCAGAGTGACCCCTGAACAGTGCCCTGGACCTTGCCTTGTCCTGTGCTGACACTTCTTGAGTCACTGTGTCAGTCCATCCCATCACGAGTCTTCTCTGACCCTCCACCTTTCCAAGCATGATGTCCTTCTCAAAGACTAACCGTTTCTAAAAACACCCAAAATAGGTGATACATTTTGACCTGACGTAGATATCACATGTGATAGCACATCGATGTCACAAAAGATGCTTCTCCATCTTTGCTTCCTACCAGCACCGTGGCTGCCCCTTCTCCAGACGTGTTTGCTTGGTCGAGGTACAGAGGTGGTACATGGTGGGCTTGCTGCCTCTCAGCAGAGGGACCCTGATGGACGGCAGCCCCGCGAGGACAGGCACGGGGGCGCTCTCGTGCCATTCGGGTACGGGAAGCTGCTTCTGAGGCCTCATGCCTGCTCCCTGGCCCCTAGCAACTCCTGGGACCCAGCAGCTCCCAAGTGAGCTGTAGAGAATAGTTCATTAAAGGCTAGAGAGTTGGGGGGGTGTTTCGTTTTTTCCAGTTTGTGGTTTTCTGTAAATTCTTCCTCTTTATAGTAATAGTTTGTATTTAGAAATCCTGGTGGCATAGTGAATGATGTGTCTGGCTGCTCCCTAAAAAAAGATGGATGGTTCAAATCCATCAGCAGTTTCCTGGGAGAAAGATGGGTGGTTTTTTCCCATGAAGATTCACGAGAAATATGCTAAAAGAATACTGAATCAGAGTTGACCGAGTGGCAGAGAGCTAGCCCTTGAATAGACTAACTGGTGGTGCTGTAGGTTAAACATTGGACTGCTAATTGAAAAGTTGGTGGTTCAAACCCACCGGCCGCCCCCCAGGGAAAGCTGAGGTGCTCTGCTTTGCTGCATTGGACGTCTGGGGCAGCTCTGCCCTGTTGAGTAGAGTCACCATGAGTCGCCATTGTCTTGGACACCGGGTTTGCACTCCTGTGTAGAGAGTCTGGAAGAAGGGGTATCAGTAATACTAAATATATTGGTTCCTTTTGAATACCAAAGGTACCCAGGTGGTAGAGTGCACTGAGAAAAGTGGGCAGTCTTCTGTAAAGATTTACACCCCCAGAAACCTGGAGCGTCACCGTGAATCTGGATGGGGGGGGTGTCACCGTGGGTCCGGATCACAGTGGGATGACCATGAATCCAGAGCACTGCACGGGGGGTGTGTCATTGAATCCAGATCACTGGGGAGGTCACCAAGAGCCCGGATCATGGGGGAGGGGCCGCCGTGAGTTGGGATCACCCCGTGATGGCGGTGGATTGGATTTGGTTTAGGGCTGTGGAAATGGGGAGCTAGGAGCCAGAGCAGGAAGGATGCTTCATTCTGTACCTTTATTTCTTTTGAATTTCCAACTGTCGGCATGTCTTCTAATTCTAAATTTAGTGCATAAAATCTTAAAATAGTTGAAAAGTTAGCCATCTTTGTCTGTTGAGTACTTTGCTAGCTTGTTGCAGTCAACCTGAGAACAGTGTTTCTTTTCCTAAGGAATTGGTTCCTAAGTGTGGACAGAGCCTCTGATTTGCTAGACCTCTGAAGAACAAGACAAACCTTCCATGTTATCCTGCGGAAGTCCTCCCGCTATAAAGTGTTTTCCATGTGGATTCTGACGGCTGTATCCTCTTTTGCAGGCAATATCATCATGAAATTGAGGAATTCGTTTCCAATTTAGTCCGAAGATTTGAGGAGCAGCAGAAGCATGATGTGGAAAAGACTTCCTTTAGTCTTTTGCCCCAGGTATTTCACCCTTAGGAGACTTTTAGACCAGGGAGCTGTTCTGACCTCTGGTATTCTTAGACTGCATCAAAACCAGCCAGAAGGTTTGAGAGCTGACTGATCACCTCGCCTCCTTGTGCGGACGTCAGTCTGCAGTCCAGCCCGCGCAGGCCGTGGACTCCGGGACCGTCAGCACCTTTGGTGGGGGTGGTCCAGCTGAATGCAGCCCACCACACTCACAAGTAACACGCTGACACGCAGTTTTGAGGCTGAAAATTCATTTCATGCCATAGGAAGGGGAAAATCTTTATTTTTAGAGTTTAGAAAACATGGGTTATTTTATACAGATTTTTAATTGTTCCCTAAAAGTAACAGTCTCAAGGGAACTCTGATATTCTAATTGGCAAGAAGCTGCACTGCAGTCACAGAGGCATGCAGTTCGAATCCACCAGATGCTATGCTGGAGGAGGAGGGGTAATCTCCTCCTGTGCCCATCAGACCCGATTTGACGGTACATGCACACAAAAAAAAAAAATTTAAAAAAGTAATGGACTCTTGGGATAAAAGGATATGGCCCATATATTTTTTTCTTCTTTCACCTGATAAAAAGAAAATACAAAGTGTGCCCAGAGAAGTCTGAGAATTTCTTTCATGTGATTACCATAGCACTTGTTTATGGGTGGCGTGAATCAGAATTACGTGTTCTGGTGGGGTGTAGGTGGTGGAGGGATGTTTCCTTTTTAATTCACAATAAAGCAGGTAGAGTCTCGCAGAGAGAATTGTTAGCTGTGACCTTGAGGTTGATCAGTGAGGATTCAGCTTTTTGTTGTCACTTGCTGTTTCTACTGTCAAGTCTAATTTTTAGAAAATCAAACAAATATGTACAAATAACTATAATGAATATACGTGGTTTAAGGATAGTGCCTTAAGGGTTCTTTTCTTTCTTTCTTTTTAATTTACAGGGGAAAGTGTGAGCACTTTCATAAGAGTTGGATACAAAAATATGTCTTTTTAAAATCTCTATCAACCTAATTAGGTCATTTAAAAATAAATTAATGTCTCTGACCAATGTAAGTAATGAAAATTTAATGATCAGTGTTTATAAATGCGAAAAGTTCATACTGATGTTGTAGAGGAATCTGTCTGTGTTCCCTCTTTCCTTTTTACACCTCTCGAGAGATTCCTCTTGTTCTTGTTTCCCTCCCTCTGACTACGACAGTGGCTCTAAAGTGTGATGTTCTCAGTTAGAAAACGAAACAAGTGTGCTCACTTTCCTAAGGTTTGAAATCTAAGATGGTCAGACATTGATAACACTTGTTAATGTGTTTTTTTCTGTCTGTCTGTCTGTGCGTTAGCCGTCCAGCATTGTACTGGAAGAGGACCAGAAAGTGGAAGAGCCCAGCGCCATGAGACCTGGCAGCGAGGCCTTCAGTGTAAGTGTGGGTGTCATGGTCGGAAGCTGTCAGTTCCCGGGTCCCATTTCATGGCTGTTGTCAGGGATCACAGCGGAAACAGCAGCACAGCCTCCGAGGGGGTAGATCTTCACAAAGGTGGTAGTTCACTTTTTCATCACAGTTGCATTGTGTAGTGTGCTGGGGACACAGGGGCGTACTCTGGGGGTTTTTTATTGCCTGCTTGAGTTGCGTTTGTTTTCATGGACCTGGATACTTTAGAACTTATAAGAGGCATGAAGCTGAGGGATAGGGAGCAAACATAACATGACAAATTTGAAATGGGAAATTTTTAACAAGCGAGGATAGCGGGTAGAAGCTAAAAGAAGGTAAACGGGTGAAGCTCCCTGTGGGCTTACAACCTGTCGGTGTGTACAAACGTCGGGCATAGGTACCGCTCAGTGCTCTCCGTCTGCGGCTTATCTCAGTCCTCACAAGACCGTGGAATCTGAGACTCCATGCTTGGAGTGCTGTGCCCTCAGCGGTGTTCCCTAATTTTTCAGTCGTTGGACCGAGAGGAGGGGGAGGTCTGAAACCCTCTGGAAACGCGTGTTGACTGGAGAGATGACATTTCCACAGTTGGGATAGAGGTGGTTCTTGGGAAAGGCTGTTTACTTTGGATTCTCCTTTGTAGTACTGCGTGGCAGGGTCAGGACCGGTCACTGGTTGGGGTGCAGGGAGCACTTTTCAATTCAACTTTTAGAGAATGAAAGCAATGCAAAAGAATGGTGTATTTGGTTCCAAAAAACCCGGCTGGTCCTGTGGCTACAGAGATGTCAGCCAGCAGGTGGTGCAGAGAACGTTTCTGGATCTG